TTGAACCACCAGCCGTCTGGTTAGCAGGCAAGTGTCTTAGGCATTATGCTACCAGAGCTCCTAGGTTAGGGTTAGCTGAGGCAAAAATAATAATAATAATAAATTGGTTCTGGAAGATACAGAGAATATTAAATTAAGAAACATGAGGAGAATTTGTTCTAGGAATGCTCATGGGTCATATATATTATGGCGGAGCTGGCCAGAACAAGGTATTAGTCAAGCCAAGATCTTGGGTTTCATTGGCTCTCAGGCCTGGTTGCTTCATTTCCTTGGGTAGGAGTTATCCCTCTAGCACTAGGCAACACCATTCTGTTTTCAGCTGGCATATTCATAAATGTATTTATATGTCTGCTTAGACTTCAGACTCTGATGAGTTTCTATCCATTCCCTTAGTTCCAGCATATTCCTACAAGGCTCGTCACTAAAGAGGCAGAAATCTCAAAGGTGTCTCATGTCTCCTCAGAGCTACCTCCCAACTCTAGGATTTCAGACTACTGAAACTGGCTCATTTCTTTCAGCTCTTTCTGCACACTCAGGTTGCAAATTACTCACAGGCCAGGACCTTGTCATTACAAAACCTTTCTATAATCAACCCCTGCAACATGGCAATATTTGGGAAAAGGTTATTGAAATGAGTTTATTTAAAATGTCTTTAAACACATAACATGCTTTGCTACTAATTCTATTTGGTTACAACTGTCAATTAATTTCACATATTTACAGTCTTCATGATGACTCTATTCATGAAACTTAGTCGTATACCAGTAACTTTGAAATAATCAGTTCATAAGTGTCATAAGAAAGAGATATGAAGGGGTCACTCATTGGAAGTCTACCACTATTACCAAGGAGACAAAGTCCCTTTAACTATGTGAAATACAGTATTACATATGTTGATAGAAAAAATATGTCTGTAACAAAAGGCAAGCACTTCAAGAAAATAAATTTCTAGTTCCATTATTCCTACTCCCAGATTACATATGCAAATTCCTCTGTGAACCAGACATTCAATAAATCTTGAGTGAGTGAATTAATGATTGAATATATAAATTAAATAAATACTTCAAGGTAAATATATTTTTACACACATACATAAATATTTATATCCACAGATTTTGTAAAGACTGAAGAAAATAAAGACTTAGTCTATAAAAAAGAATATTTAAACCCAATATAAGGTTTGGGACAAAAGAAAGTGAAATAGGAGGACCAGATTCTCAATAGAGAACACATCAATCATAGATAGCCCTTGTAGTCAAACTAACTAG